ATCAATCATAGTATGCTTAGCTAAGTTGTCTTTCCCTAATAGGAAGTATTCCCATTTTAGTAATGTGGTTGATATAGTTGGGTATTCCCATGCTAGTTATGTGGTTGATATAGTTGCATGGTGTCTAAACTCCACATTTTCTGTTAATGCCACTGAAAACAGTAGTGATTTAAGGGAACCTCAATTAGCCCATGCTTTTTCTAATATACACCATTGCTTTGGTGATGATAGATCGAACCATTGTCTAAGTTGATCCAGTATGGTCGCCATATGGTAATCTTTCAGATCTGGCACTCCCACTCCCCCTATCCTTCTATTTCTATGCTTAACTAGTACATTGTGTGGACACCTAGCCTTACTTCCAGCCCAGGTAAATTTAGATACATACACTGCATTGTTGTATAAAAGTATGAGGGAATAGAAATGGGCAGCACTCTAAAATAATATAACATTTTAGGAAGGAGCATCATTTTGTAAGCAGCTAATCTGCCAGACCAAAATAAATAAAATATTCTGAGTCTGTCCACGTATTTCAATATAGACCACATAAGAGGTTTGAAATTGAATCTGTATAGGTTGAAAGAGGATTGGGTAGGGTTATACCTAAATATTTGAGAGTGCCATCTGGCCATGTATACAGTAATTTGTTTTGCAGTATTTTTTTCATTTTACCTTCCACAGCTATACCTAGTATTCAGTTAGCAGCATTGATTTTATAGTATGATATAGTATGACATTTCATTAAACATAGGAATAGTGATGGTTCGATTAGCAATCGAACACTCAAACCTACAGAATGTTTGACCGCGAACATCGAACATGAACAATTTACTAAGCGGTATCTTACTGCATCTGAGTATGTGGTAAGATACCGCTCAGTTACTAAAATAGGCACAATGGCTTAGTAGTTAGCACTTCCACCTGGCAGTACTAGTCGTTGGTTCAAATCCCAACCACGGCACCACCTGCCTGGAGTTTGCATGTTCTCCCTGTGCCTGCGTGGGTTTCCTCCGGGTACTCTGGTTTCCTGCCCACTCCAAAGACATGCAGGTAGGTTAATTGGATCCTGTCAAAATTGTCCCTAGTATGTGTATGTATGAATGTGAGTTAGGGACCTTAGATTGTACACCTCTTGAGGGTTAGGGACTGATGTGAATGTACAATATATATATGCAAAGCGCTGTGTAAATTGACAGCGCTATATAAGTACCTGAAATAAATACAAAATAAAAAAAGTTACTAAAATACCGCATGAGTTATATTACTAAGTCATGCAGTATTTTAGTAGTGAAACATTCTTTAATGTTTCAGCTGACAACTGGGTTCCCCGCTGACAGCTGAATGTTAAAAGAATTGTAGGCATTACCAGACAATTAAAACTTTTTTTTTTAAATGACGTGGGGTCCCCCCTCTCATCCATACCAAGCCCTTCAGGTCTGATATGGATTTTGAGGTGAACCCTCCACACCAAAATTTAAAAAACGAAATGGTGTAGAGGTCCCCCCAAAAATCCATACCAGACCCTTATCTGAGCATGCAGTCTGGCAGGTCATGAAAGGGGGGGATGAGCAAGTGCCTTCCCTCCTGAACCATTTCAGGCTACATGCCCTCAACATGGGGGGGGTGCTTTGGGGGGGCTCCCCCCAAAGCACCTTGTCCAACTGCTGATGGGGACAAGGGCCTCTTCCACAGAACTGTGACAGGTGATTGTTGAGGGTTTGTGGGTGGGGGGCTTATTGGAATCTGGAAGCCCCCTTAACAGCCCCCAGATCCCAGCCCCCCCATGTAAATGAGTATGGGGTACATGGTACCATTACCCATTCACAAGTGTAAAAAAGATAAGAGACAGTCTTTGACAAGTCCTACCCCGGCAAAGAAAAAAACGCTACGCTCACAACGCTAAATCTTGCCCATCTAACGGCTGCGCCCCGATGACAGTTCTTAAATACTGCCACAACACAAGGGGTGGGGTTCACAGAGTCCCTTTGCGATGTCATCCCGTGCTTTGATTGGCCAAAGCATTGCACCCGAGGTGTATTGCCAGACAGAGATGCGTGATTGGTCACTACAGAGAACACGTCTCCACTGCTCTAGAGTCCAGTGGTGGTGTGCTTTACACCGCTGCATCTGTTGCTTTGCATTGCACTTGGTGATGTAAGGCTTGGAGCTGGTCAGCCATGGAAACCCATTCCATGAAGCTCTCTACGCACTTTTGTTGAGCTAATCTGAAAGCCACATGAAGTTTGGAGGTCTTTAGCTATTGACTCTGCAGACAGTTGGCAACTTCTGCACTGTGCACTTCAGCATGCACTGACACCGCTCTGTGATTTTACGTGGCCTACCACTTCGTGGCTGAGTTGCTGTTGTTCCCAGTTGCTTCCACTTGCTTATCACTAACAGTTGAGCGTGGAATATTTAGTAGCAAGGAATTTTCACAGATGGACTTATTGCACAGGTGGCAACTTATCACGGTACCATGCTTGAATTCACTGAGCTCCTGAGAGAGACCCATTATTTTACTGTTTTTTACACTTTTACAACAACAGAAATTCAGAAATGAGTTTACAGCTACTGTTTTATTTTATTAGTCTTTCTATATATTAGCTTCCTGCAATTACCTGCTTAGCAGGACCCAAATTGGGAAAAGTTAGTTAGCAGTGTCACCAAATCAGGCTTTTATGTACTGTACATTCCTGTCCACCCAACACTGAAAGCTTGTCAACAGGGGGAGAGATCTGATGATGCTCTTTTAAAGTCCAATGAGGAGGCCAGGGTTGGGTCAGTGACAGGAGTGGACTGACAACTCATGGGGCCCCCGAGCAATAGGGGATCATGGGGCCCCTGTGTCCTTGCCCAAACTCAAAAAAGCCTATGAGGTACCAGGGGCATCTCATGGGGCCCCCTACTGACCCCGGGCCCTCGGGCAGTGCCTGAGTTTCCAAATGGTCAGTCTGCCCCTGGTCAGTGACCAAGGTTGCTAAAGCGCAGTGGACAAAAGTGGAGTCACCAGCCTAGCTGTGCTGTCTAGCACGAATGCCAAAATCACAAGACTGCTGAATAGAATTGGAAATCATTTGTTAGGGCAGACAACTCACATATATATATTTTAAACCCATGTTTAGTTGTTTGCCTGGTGTTTTGAAACACTGTAAAAATACATATTTATTTATCTAAAAAACAGAGTGAATACGAAAATAACACATACAATTATTAATATGGCATTCAACTAACCTTTAAACTTCATGCCTAGGAGACAAATCTTACCTTTTGATTATAGAATAAAAAGTTTCTGCTATGTAATTCATCACAATGAATGACATTTTATTCTAGGAAAATATAAAGAATATCATAACTGAATTAAAAAGCATTTAGTCTGAGATATTCTGTTATATTTACAAATCACTTTTAAAGAATACCTTCGCTTTTCATAACACGTTACATGTTTCACTCATATTCCACTGTCAAAATTTTAAAAAAAATGTGTCCATTCGGGGTTTCCCCTGCCCAGCAGAAAAAATGTGCATTTATTATTTTTTGTTGAAAGCTGAACTTTTCCTTTAAACAAGCAAACAAATATACACATATTTCACTCCTCTGGCCTCTTACAATGAATGTGTGGGGAGAGACGACAACAGTCACAGAAAAGATTATGACTAGAGAACTGTAAATCTGCCCAGGTTCAGTTTGGCAAGGGTTCAGGGATCCCAAACTTAACAGTGAATCCAACTGAAGTCTTTGGGAGACAGATCCTGTTAGTATATTCTGACCATTTTTAGGGCTAATAGGCAAACTACTGTGAAAACAGTGGGTGAACGGACTTTTGAAATATGCATTTTTTTTTTAATAACGTTTTGAGTTATGCCTTAAAGCTTTATGTAGCATATGAGTTTTCAGACAGTCTCAATGACAGCTTAAACTAGCTGTACATATTTTGATATTTTGCTGTGGAATCAATTATTTTCTTCAACAATTACTTTGGCATATATACAGCAGCAGCACCCCAACCAACCTGATTAATTTCAGTTAGAAAAAAATGCTTATTTCAGGTAATTTTAGTGATGACACATGCTTTTTCATCAAATGGTAATAGGCCTTCTTTGACTGTCAAACGATAGCCAGCAGTTTACTAAGGATGCCCCTGTTCTCGTTGATGCTAAAACTGCTCTGTTCATTGCCAATTTTAATTACATTTAAGCATTAGGACAATTTTAGTTAGCAAGACTAAGCTCAAACTTACTAGAAAAGGAGCAAAGGCTATTTTTTTTTTTGTACAAGAGTGTAAAATTAACCAGCAGCAAGACAGTTTTAATCAGGGATAATAGGCCCAACCAGTGTATGCTACTCAAAAATACTACCCCTAAAACAAAAGACTACTTTTTCAAAGCCTTATCAACATACATTAAAAACAGTATACCCCCAAAATAAATGAAAACCCCAAAATATTTCCCCCTAAAACAAAAGCTCTTTTTTGTTAAGGAATATCTTAATGCAAAGAATGTAGTTTAATCCAAAATAAGGGCCATATCAGCATAACATAAAAAAACCCCTAAAATAAATGAAAAATCTCTGAAACAAAAAAGCTAGCAGTCAGACCTGAAATATAGTTTCCTAACTGACTTTAATCCCTGTACATGCAGCTTGTCAGCTTTCCCTATCCTTTACACACAGCAGCTTACAAAACACTGGTACCATGGTTGCCATTTGCTGCCTCCCACCTTTTATAGTGAGGGCTTATCCAAAGCCCCCTTATTGGCCCTTCTAAGCCTGGTGACCATGTCCTGGGTATATCTGCACATAAATTTTCCAGTACTGCAAATCTCAAACTCACATGTTTCAAAGCAAACTAATATTAGCAGCAGTAAACCTCATCCCTACTTATGATATGGTGATTACTATTATTAGGTGGTAGGGTTTGTGAGGATTATCATGCCGACAACAGCAATGATTTTTTCTGCCTACATTGTACTCAAGTGAGAGGAAAACTTTCTAAAATAGTTTTTGAAGTGAACCTGTGGCCATGCTATAGACCAGGGGTGGCGAACAAGTTAGACACAAAGAGCCAAAATTTTAAACTGTGAAAGTCAGAGAGCCACACCACGCAGTGACCTGCCAAAACAGACAAACACTCACACAAAAACACATAATTAAAACCATATTATTCACCATAACACTTTCTTCCCCTTACAAAACAACAATGTGTTCATTTCAAGGTAAGTGTCTACCCTCAACACACACATCAAATGCAACTTAGCCAGAGTTAACACATCAACTACCCTGGAGGTTGCTGTGGCACCTGTCTCTCTCTCTCTCCCTTCTCTCTCTCACTCTAACACACAAGTATACAAAAAAAAATTCTGAACTAATGGACTGCAGACACAGTACAGGAGATGACCAGAGACTGCGGACAGCACAGGGATGACCAGAGACTGCAGACAACACAGGGATGACCAGAGACTGCGGACAGTACAGATGACTGCTGACCTTTGGGGAGGTGGGGAATTTGACAGGTACCCACTCTTACTTCCGCAGAGTTTTTGTTTGATTTTACCTGTTCCTCGATCCAGCCGCGCGCTGTCTTCCCGGCTTCTGTAATGGCGCTCGGCATGACAGCCGGGTGCCCAGTGCGCAAGAGCGAGAAGCACTTGCGCTTTGTGATTGGTCCGGCGGCTTCTGGGATCTGTCATGTGTCCCAGGTACCACCTTACCATTCACAAAAAGCACCGCTTCTTGTGCATGCGCACTTGGCACCCGGCTGTCATGCCCAGTGCCCACACTACAGAAGCCGGAAGACAGCGCGCCGCTGGATAGAGGAACAGGTAAAAATAAGAGAAACATGAAACTTGGCAAAGAGCCACAGTATACAAAATATGATAAGAGGCAAAGAGCCGCATTCATTTTGGCCGGGAGCCGCACGCGGCTCGAGAGCCGCGTGTTCGCCACCCCTGCTATAGACCTATTAATATTTATATAATCATAACAAGAAATAAATGAGCTTTAAACCATGCCCTGACTTCTGTAGCTATAGGATCTGTGAAGTATCTCATTCTAAAGGTTACAAATAGTGGCACTAAAATGGCAGCTCATCTCCCCTTGCATATTCTGGCAGCAGGGACTTGAAGGTCCACCAGCCTTCTAATATTAAAAAAGGCAAGTGCTGTAAGTTGTTCAAAGATTGCAACCAAGGTTCTGAGTTTCTTTTGTGATCTTTGAGGATGAATTGCTATTATTTCAAATATCCTCACTGAAGGAGTGCCTACATGAATTATGTATAAACACAAATTAATACTACACAAAAAAGTGAAAATCATATATATGCAAAACACCATACACAATGCTCAACTCCCAGGTGCCTCTACTACATATAATTGTAGACCACGTAGATCTCATCAATATGGAATCCCAACAGCTACAAAAAGTAGACCAGCAATAATGAAGTACCATAATGCTCAATAAATAAAAAATTGCACCCACATAGGCACAGAAATAAATGCATCCAATGGGCTGCAAGTACATAATCTAGTGCCACAAATTCTCCAGCAATCCCATAACTCAGCATGTCCAAATATGATGATGACAGCAGAACCCACCTTACATGTACAAGTTTTATCAGAATTACTTCCTCAGGGACTCATTTACTGCTTGTTAAGAATAGATAACTACTTTACTGGGCTAGCTTAAAATGTATGTCAAGATAAAGTAATATAAATAAAAACATATTAAGAATATTTCTACAATGCACGCACATTTCCCCATATTTTTTTTTTTTTCATTTAACATGATACAAGAACACAAAAATAATATGATATGCCATTGCACTCTCACCGACTTCCCCTCCCCTCCCCCATCCCATAACCCCTAGTTATTACCTCATGAGATATCTGGAAGAATCAACAGGCTTTTTCCGCACTTACTGAACAGATACAACAAAGCACTTTCAATGGTAGATTTACCCGACTAGTGGCCAGGTTAAGGACATTAAACATCACTTTAAACATCCAGTCATGGAATGAGGAGCCTATACATCTTTTGCTTAGAAAACGTTTAGCCCATAGACTATTAAATCATTTTTATTTATTTTAAGTGTAGTGCTGTGGGTAAGATTTATACTTTCATTGTCCATACAGTATAATAACTAGGGTGTGTGTTTGATCTTCTCTTTAAAGCAATCAGGATAACTCTGCGGTTTGTCACGTAGGAGTTGAGGTCTGGAAAAAAACTGTGGAAGACTGCGCACAAAGGAAATGACAGAAAACCAAGGTCTCAAACCAAAACCCATAACGGCTTGGACAGATGAGCTTGCCAAGATATGGCAAAGAGCAATGTAACTGACTACTACCCTAGTGCTTCATCTTCTGCTCTATCCCACTAACATTCTCTTATACAATGAGTAGCAGTAAGAAAAGACCACTGACAATTGCATGGACAATGGCATATCTTGCTATGATACAACGTGTAGCACTACCCCCTTAGGAGTTGCTGGATTTTTTTGGGCTCCCTGTTGCTCTCGACCCTTCTTTGAAAGCCCAACCCCTGCTGACACCACAGTACCCTCTTAACCAGAATAAATCACCACCAGAAAGTAAACTGACCGACTGATTAGAGTAAACTGGTAAGAGGTTTATAGCAATCTTCAGTGTAGCTTGGTTTACACAGCATAAAAAGAATTAGCATGTGCAGAGTCAGTTGTTACTTGTGTCAGCTTCAAATAATAAAAAAGACAACACTTATCACAGAGTCTTAACTAGTGTTAGCAGGCCTGCTTTTCAGAAACTAACCCAATACCTTCAACCTGAGGTGGCTTTACATTCCCCAGTGAGCAGCGAGAACTATCAAACAGGTTGACTAGCTCCCTTCGGGCCCTCAGGACTTGATGGCAGAGAGGTAGCCTGAAATAAGGAAATAGCTCTTTACTCCAAACAACCAATGTTCTCTTAAATGCAGTGAAGAGTCTTCTTCACTCATGATGGGGCCCAGTTGGTGCACAATGAGAGGAAGTGTGAATGATGGTTCTCTAAAGAACAATGCAATAAAGAAAGGCAAGTACAGCACTCCCCTGAAAGCAGCAATTGGCTTGTGATCTAAATCAGTAAGATGTTAATCTGGCAGAAGTAATTTTTGAGACAGGACGGCTCCTCTGTAGACTGCAAGACCATTGGCACAAAAGGACAAGGTCTCTTTAAAAGAGTAAATTGATTATGGTGGTGACACAGTTGTGGTTTGGCCTGTGGAATGGCTATCCTGCTATCAGTTCTGATGATAAGGCTGTGTTGAGTGGGGTCAAGCACTAGCAGCTGGAGGAACTAGGCCACAACATATAAAAATGTGCAATGTCCGCCACTGTGTGCAGGAAAATAGCATATATGGAGCAAGCGTTAGTGTTCCCTTTCCTTGGTAATGCTTGAGCCCAATGCTTGGGGAATTCTGGCAGTCGTTCCCTCTCCTCCGATGGGGCCTCTATGCACTCTCTCTGGTCCCGCCTGCAGCATCCTGTCCTGTCACCTGCTGGCAGATTCGCTTTCTAGACAATGCCAAGGTCATCAATTAGCTGATTCTCTTTGCCTCTCTTTCTCTCTTTCTGCGGCCTGGTCCAGTCCTCCAGCAGTCATAACACTCCTCTATCCAGATCTCTCCCCTCTCACTCCCCCCTCAGTCTCCTGGGCTTTCGTATATATATATCCTACTTTTGAATACCACTCACATACACCTTGTACATCCCCCCTTCTCAGTGCCTATGCTAACATCTGTAAACCTCCCCCCCCCGTGCCTGTACTGCCATGCAGCTTATACACCCCCCACTGCTCATACTCACGTACAAGTCCCCAGTCATACTGGATGCAAATTGGCATGCGATTTGCATGCCATGCAACTTGCAAACCCTATTGTCTGCAGTTACAGCGGTCATATCTGCGGTTACAATTTGGTTGGGGACGCACCGATTTCTAAAGTAATACATGTACTACTTTTGGTGCGATTTGCATAGACATCTGTGTCAGATATCTTGCAAATCGCACCTGAAATCGGCATGTCATCCGACTTTGAAGTTGTGCGACTTCACTGTAAGTGAAAAGTTCAAAGTCGGGTTTGGTGTGACCGGGGTGTAACTTGTAAAGCCCCCCCAGTGTCGACAGCCACATACACCTTGTACACCCGCCACTGCTCATACTCACATATAACTTGTAAAGCCCCTCAGTGTGGACACACTGTGCATGTGAGTGTGGACACTGGGGGGCTTTACAAGTTATATGTGAGTATGAGCAGTGGGGGGAGTACAAGGTGTATGTGAGTATCCACACTGGGGGACTTTACAAGTTACAGTTGTGTGCAAAATAATAGCAGTGTGTTGAAAAAAGTGAATAAAGCTCAAAATCCTTCTAATAGCTTTTATTTCCATACACACAAATGCATTGGGAACACTACACATTCTATTCCAAATCAAAACATGAAGAAAAATATATCAAGTTTGTGTTGTTCCTTGCGCAACCATGCTTCACTGTCTTCACAGTGTACTGTGGCTTGAATTCAGTGTTTTGGGGGTCGTCTGACAAACTGTCTCCGGCCACTAGACCCAAAAAGAACAATCTTACTTTCATCAGTCCACAAAATGTTGCGCCATTTCTCTTTAGGCCAGTCAATGTGCTCTTTGGCAAATTGTAACCTCTTCAGCACGTCTTTTTGTCAACAGTGGGACTTTGCGGGGGCTTCTTGCAGATAGCTTGGCTTCACATAGGCGTCTTCTAATTGTAACAGTACTCACAGGTAACTTTAGACCTTCTTTGATCTTCCTGGAGCTGATTGTTGGCTGAGTCCTTGCCATTTTGGCTATTCTTCTATCCATTCGAATGGTAGTTTTTCGCTTTCTTCCACATTTCAGGTTTTGTTTGCCATTTTAAAGCATTTGCGATCATATTAGCTGAGCAGCCTATCATTTTCTGCACTTCTTTATATGTTTTCCCCTCTCCAATCAACATTTTAATCAAGGTATGCTGTTCTTCTGAACAATGTCTGGAACGACCCATTTTCCTCAGAATTTCAGAGAGAAATGTACTGTAACCAGCATGTACAACATTTGCTGCCTTCCTTCCTTAAATAAGGGCAATAATTGCCACCTGTTTTTCAAAGAATGAATGACCTCACTAATAGAACTCCACACTGCTATTATTTTAAACATGCCCCTTTCAATTAGTGATTCAATTACACAGAATCAGCAGCATGCATGTCATGACTGTTGGGTCTGTTGGATTTCTACTACTCTACTACACCTGCTAGTAAATTATTTGCCATGTAGAAATATCATTTCTACCAAAAACAGTGACTGATCAGGTTAGTGATGTCTGACTGCTATTATTTTGAACACAACTGTATGTGTGAGTATGAGCAGTGGGAGGAGTACAAGGTGTATGTGTGAGTGTCGACACTGGGGGGCTTTACAAGTTATATGTGAGTATGACTCACACTCACATATAACTTTTAAAGCCCTCCAGTGCTGACAGTCACATACAACTTGTACACCCCCCACTCTTCACACTTCCATTCAGTCCCTTACTTATGGATGAGGAGGGGGCTGGGGGTGGATTATACAGTGGGAATCACACCAAACAGATCACTGTGCAAGGACTGCAGCAGAGCCGGCCATCCTCACGGGGAGATGGAGCTTGGCTATGACAGTTGTCCAGCCCAGGGGAGCCAGTGGAGCTGCAGGAAAATCAATTCGGAAGCCGCTGAGCTGTCCTGCTCTGAAGACTGCTCACACCTATGTGTC